AGACCGATGAAAATGCCTTTGGCCGTGGAATTAAACATGCTAATTGCTACAATTATACCACTAAAAAATAAAAATATACACTTTATATGCTAATTTCCAAATCGTGCAATGAAATTGTAATAAAATATGTAAATATATTACCAAGTTCCAGAACCAGGAATACCTATAGCCTGAATACCAGTGACGATTAGTTGAAAGAAGAAGACGAAGAAAAAGACCATAAAATTGAAAGAACTGTCATTCCTAAAAAATTAAAATTACAATTTATTTCAAATACTTTTATATTTTGTGTGTGCGTGTGCGTGGATGTGTGTGTGTGTGTGTGTGTGTGTGTGTGTGTGTGTGTGTGAGATCTCTATAATATTAAATAAATTTACTTGAAAGCTCTATATGCTGGTCTAAACCAACACATGAAGGAGAACGGAGTGAAGAGTATAAGATACAAGATAGCCAACCCGAATATTGAGAAACCTTCGCCACAAAGCATCAAGACAAATCCTCCGAGAACATTCAATAATAGGACGAAGCCATGAACTATAAAGGATATTGTAAATATATTATCCGTCTCATAACAATATATATTTAATAAACATTATATCAAGAATAAACTTACACATCCACAGGTAATACAAATGCCTCACTATTTTTTGAAAATCTGTATGGATTTCCACATCAATGTCTTGATAGAAGCATGGTTGGAAACAACACTTGTCTGGTAATGGTGGCCAATTATTTCGTCTTGCTAAAATATCAATAAATAATTATATAAAGCAATTTTACTTAACTTTAAATGTTTTAAAACATAAACGATACTAACGGTAGTATGGAGTATTTCTCATTTCCTCTTCCGCTCTGGCTTTCCATTCTGATTCCGCTCGTTGCTAAAAATATGTTAAAATAACTTTTCTTTTCTATACTTAAGAGATTTATTTACTTCACAGAAGAAATGCCTTTAACAGAAAAATGACAAATATTGAATATAAATTTACATCTGATGGAGGTGAAACAGTGCTTCCAAGCGCTGCATTAACTGTTTGTTGGGGAGTACGAGCGTAAGCAGGAGGTGGCGTTTCTTGATTAGTAGGTTGAAGTGTGGCAGGCTGTTGTGTTGCGCCTACTCCACCATAGATTGGTGGATTTACTGCTCCTCTAACTTGTGTAGTTCCTTGAGTCCCTTGTTCAGCAAAAGGATTGTAGTCTTCAAGACCTCTACTAGCAGGTGTAGAAGTTACTGCTCTCCGTATCGCTGGATCCTATTATATATTAACATATTTATTGGTATCCTTTATTTCTTTATAAGAATCGCTTATCTTATCTTTCTTTTTTATCATTCTCACAGATTAAAATTATGTTTTACATTTTCATGGGATACAAAAGAATATATACATATCTCGACAAATTACTATTTACAAAGATATATTTTATTTAAATCGAATTTTGAAACAAGCAAGACAAGATTACAATCAAAATTATAATCAAAAGAGAAAATTTGTATAACAAAGTCGCATATGAAACGCAATAATGTCATCAAAAACATATAGCATATAGATAAAACGAATAGTCACGAAATTAAATTTTATAAATTATCGATTTTGTACAAGGATAAAATTATCAATGCTGATAGATATTCTTGCCGACATTAGGATGACACATCCGATAATTATTATTCAAACATCAGAAGTCTCGCTTATCGGCGGAAATTGTCCGATAGATTGCGATTAACCTTTCACGGGAGTGAATATCGATTTACGTCCCCGAGAATTTTAACAAATACGCGGGCAATATTGCGGCGCAGAGCTGCGTGTTTCGCTTTCGTCACTTACACACGAGGTAAACGCTACTCACCGAGAACGGATCGTTAATCGTAGGCTCCCCAAAGGGATTCTCATCGAATCCGGACATCTCTCGTCCTCGTTCTCGCACCTATGATACGTGGTCGACACGCTCGGAGTTCGTACGAATTTGATAATACTGAATTAATCTTATCTAAATCTGTCTAAACCTGACGAGCCATGATTCCGCCGTTATATACGGTAACGCCGTCGCAGCAACCGCGTATCTCGAGCAACGTTCATCACTACAGTTCCATAGAACTCAATATCGAGAAGCTCACGGCGTATCCCCATCACTCGAAAAATCGTTCTGCGACAGTCGAAGAAACATATTTTTATAATCAAACGCCAGTTGTTGATATCAATTTTAAAGATATTTACTTTTGCTTTAAAGAGATTTATAGCTTCGAAATTTAACTTTTTTCATATAAATTATATTAAAAACATATGATAGAATTCCATAAGTGAAAAATAACTAGCAAGTCAACAAAGAGATTGGTTAGCTTCAAGAATTGATAGGGATTTTTCGTGGAACAAATGTTCTTCAGAGAATTTGAAAACGACATAATAGTAAATAATAGTATATACAATAAATTCTCTTTTAATGTATTCTTTTTTATTCTCTCCTATTCTTTAATTTTTTCTATTATCGTTTTATGATTATTTATTTTATTATTATCTTATACATAATTATCTTTATGAAGTATAAGTAAAATAATTAAATAATTGATTTCCGCACTTACAATGAAGATTAATTCTATGTATTTTTCTTCATTAATATTCTTTCATTAATATTATTTTTCCTCATTGTTTATATCATAAGCAAGAGAAAGTGAAATGTGTTCTTTTTACATTATATACTCATATATAATATATATAAAATATTATATACACATAAATATAAAATTTATTTAGTAAATATTTTTATTGGTATTTATATAATTTATATCTATATATAATAGAATATAATAATGTAAATAATAATTTTATTATTTAGAAAAATTGTACTCGTTCGTATTTTTTTTTTCTTTTCTCATATTTAAATACAAGAAATGATATACAAACTTTTTTTATAAGTTTTGTAAATAATCCATCCGTATTTGCATATTCATCGATATTGATGTATATTTTAATGATTTTCTAATAATAAATATGACTTTAAAATAAAAAATTATTTCTTCTTATAGTATTTAAAAAACTTGTAAAAGAAAGTTTCAATATGTCATTTTAATCCAACTTTAATGGCCGAGAGGTCATACACCTCATCCTGTCTTATCGTGCATTAAATTACATGCTTACTAGCACTTCCAATATTCGTACGAACGCCATACACACAAGAATCACAATATGATTTATTACCATGCCCGACGCAGGCGCAACCCTTGCGATTCAACAACAGATAAAGCAACGTTATGGTAGCCGGAACTGCCAGTCGCTATGCGCTTACCATACTGCGTTAAACGTTTTTGTTTCTTTTCACACCAATTAGTACTTTAAATCCGCTTGTAATTAAATCTGCGATTTGATAGTTTAATGAACAAGAGTGATTAAAAACAATCGCTATTTTCGTGCATGGCTATGAGATGGATGAGAAGCACGTGAACATTTTCAAAAAGTATATATTTTATATTACCTTCACGTCTAAAACTAAAAAAAAAAATACTTTTCTCTTTAAACCGCTATAAAAATATTTCTATTTGCGTGTTGCGTCTATTATATAACCTTACACGTATTATAGCTTCATGTTACGTGAAATACATCCAGAAGATATAATATATCGATGCACAACTGTTCATTGTATTAAAATACATAATCAAAATGGACTAAACAGAGGCAATAAAACTTTTTCTAAAAATTATAAATTTACTATCTCGATGTCGTAGTTTCTTCTAAATTTTTGTTACTAAATTTGTGTGGATTACAATTTTATTATTGCTACCACCGAATTTTTAATCGGTTGTAGAATGGATGTAAGCTCGTTGGTTCCGGCGGGACTTCAAGCAGCACAGACAGATCCGTGCGAGGTTCAAGCGGGATATAATAAATTTTCCGAAAATTTGCGAAGATTCACGCCGCAAGCTATACAGTGCGCTATTTTTTGCGGCGGATCCAGGTGCAAATATGAGAATCCAAAAGCCTGGCCATCTGTCCACATGGCAATACAGAACATCTTTTCGCATTGGTAAGAACTATAGTTCTTTATTAAATTTTAATAGGATGACGAAATCGCATAGTGTGATAAATAACAAGCAAATACAAAAAAGTTCTTCCTCAACAAAACTATACTACTACTTTTTCATAATTTAATAATAAAATAACTTTGACCAACGCTTTGTTTCAAACATGGAGACAGAACGTGTAATATTTTATAGCTAGTATTAATCGTCAACCGCTATATTTTTAGTAACAATAATCATAATTTTAATTATTCGAAATATATTTATTCACTTGGACACAGTCTTCAACCATTTTATCAAAATATAATATCATTCGATAATATTTATAACTCTCTCAATAATTGATGTTGACTTAAGACGTATGCAGTATATTTGAACCATCTTATTATTGACATTCTGTCGAAGCATCGCTCAACTGCGATAACGCCGAAGATTTATTTAGATTATTTATTTTATTTAGATTTATTTAGATTAAGAGTAGTTGACATATTAACATGCCATCCATTGCATTGTAATATAAGTAAGTAAGTAATTAATGTAATAACTACAGAAATTTATTATTGTATATCTATCTGCTGCTTCGGTTTCGTATCAGTTTTCGATCTAAATGGTTTAACCATTTAAAATATTTTAGGGTAACTGACGACGTCCTTGCGATGGCACGACCCAACACCGCGCTCATAATAAAAAAAGACATAATTGCCCAATTCCAAGGGTGGAGCATAAAAACTATAATAAACTTGCAAACACCAGGCGAACACGCGAGTTGCGGTGGTCCATTAGAAGAGAGCGGTTTCACTTATGATCCTAACATTTTTATGAAAAACAATAGTAGGTATTAAAAACATTTACTGTAATTCCTTTACAATGTTTTTTCCATAAATTTAATTTCTCACCTCTTAAATGTCTTAAATTATTCAGAATAATTTTTAAAAAATATTAATATTTTGAAGAATATCTCTTGAAGATAAAAATGATAAATGTAGAAATAATTATAATTTAATTATAATTTATAATTCATAATTCATAATTTAATAATATTTTTATACTTTTTACTTTCAATATTTGTTTGCTATTTTATTAGTCGACAAATTGAGATAATATTAGTGTTTCAACAAAAATTGTTTCCACACTACGATTCATTATAAAGGACGCAATGTTTAAAGATTTATTTGTTAAAATCAAGCTAATTTTATCGCATATTGCATTTACATAATAATATGTACATTATATGATGAATGAAGGAATAAAACGACCCGGGCTTTTACTTTCAAGTTAGCAGGAGTAACAGTGAAAATAAAATGGAGGGGAATTTGTCCTTGCTAAGCTCATGTAGAATCGTGTGGGAGCGTTTCTTCCTCAATCCTAACAACCACCAGTTAGATCGAAGAGCTTCACAATATAACATGCAATGCAGCAAACGTGTATATCTATAGAAAGGATGAAAAGTTCCGAAATAATAACCGTTGCTGCCGCTTATTTTCTCTACCATAGGAAAATTTTAACATCAAGTTGTCTCACTTGTCGATCATGTGAAAATCTGTTGCAGTTTATTATTACAATTTCGCCCTGAAGGATTATGGTAGCGCCACGATGGGAAAACTTTTGGACATGGTCAAGGTTGTGGCTTTTGCCGTGCAAGAAGGAAGAGTGGCCATTCACTGTCATGCCGGTAAATCGATTTTTCATGCAGTGCACTTGACCTAATTGCATCCGCTGCAGCTATCATGGCTTTTTGAATGTATGATTGTGCGAGATCGATTTGTATATATAGATTAATCTATAAAAACACTGCTTTTCTGAATAAAAGATTTCAAACTTAAATCTTATTTAATTCAAATTTATCAATGTTAATGTTATTATTATTAATATTTATAATCTAAATAATATTCAATATTAAATAAAATAATATATTTTCCGCATAATTATAACAATATCATTTTTTTTACATTTTTTTCATTATAGTTAGCTTAAAATTAATTATTTTCTCCACTATTCATTGATCTTACAGTTTATTTATTGTTATACATTTGCTATATTTTTGTTTCTATTCCAATATCAGTTTTTTGTACTAATTTACCTGAAATTTTTGGTTAAATGGCTTATATATATCTTTATCTATAATCTATAAGCTAAAAATTTAAAACAACAGTTGAAGAGAGTTCATCGTATATGATATTACTCTGCTGCATTGCATGCATACAAAGTTGATTGATTACACGATACATATGTACACCATGCATTTGAATCTTTACGCTACACACGCGAACACAACTTTTATCAAACTAGATGTAAAAAATAATAATCTTACTTAAGAACATGCACGATAAAATTTAATTTTCTTCTTAGAAGTATTCGATGATGTTTTATATTTTTCATTGTCTGTTTAACACACACGGACACTGCTTTGATTCAAGATAGACAAAATAGATAACCCGATTCGAAAAAGATTTAAAGTGCTCCTATTAAAAATAAAAATTTTTTATAAATTCAAATTTTTTAATATGCTAAAATCTTTTATGTAGTCATTTAATTATATGTAATCATATAATTAAGTTAAAATAAAACAATTATATTAAGGACAATCTAATTCTATTACGCTCCATTTAACATAATTTATTAGTTTCACGAACATTGCCACGCCGCAAGGGAGTTCCACTCCATTAAAGCATAAAATGCGGGTAAAGCGATAAGCAATCTCGAACGTGATACATACATATTTTTATTCCCGCATTGCTATATTATGTTTGTTTACACATATATAAATAATACATATACCAAAGAAAATAACTATTTCCATATATGTGTACGGAAAGCTGCGTCTATAATTGTCAACTATTATGCTGAAAATTAAAGATATAATCGCGAAGATCAGTCGTAACGAATTAATGCATAATCTTCTTATCTTATGCACATAGAAATAAAAATATTATCTAAATGGAATTGCCTGTTTCCTAAATATATTAATAATCGATCATAAATTATATTTTGCTTGATAATAACTAAAAAATAGTTATATGTTTTTTTGTTAGATATTGAAATTTAATTTAAAATTTTTGGAAACAATTCTAATGTTTAAAAACTTTTCTTTAAAATATTTTATATTTTTCTTCCTTAAAAATAGTATATTTTCTAAAATTTTATTCTAATAATTTAATATGTGTTTGTTTAAATATTAATAAGATTGACTTACTATCTTAAAGTATGAAAGATACAAATTTTATTGACAATAATCGAAAAAATTCAGGAATAAATTTTATTTTAGATTCCATTTTTTTAAACACGCTTGAGAAGTGAATACAGGATAAGCTTCTATTCTGATCGATCGATTGATTTCTTCGTAATTACTTCGAAACTATTGCAAGTTCACAATCATAAAAATTAATTTTTGGCTTATATCTATATTAGAAATGTACGGAATAAAACTGAAAATATCGAAACGTTTTAATTTTTATCAAAAATATTAATTAATCATAATTATATCGTATTTTTTTAGTTATTGAGCAAAAGACTAATACAGAAATTAATATAATAAATATATTATTAATTTTTATTCAAACATTTTCAATAATTACGTTAATAATGATCGTTTGTAAATTAAAATTGATTAAACTGAAAGATCAGACACAGCTGAAGGATTAGATAACAATGTGAATATAACGAGCGCGATTAGGAAAGTTAAATTGCGAGATTTATCTGCATCAGAATTATCGCGGTCAGTTGAATTGATCAGCATACTACATCTCCAGAAATGTCTTGTGTGCATGCTACGTTACTTAATTACAGGAGAAAAATGTATGAGATTCCAGCATTGCTAATGTTAGCTAGATATCATCTAATAATTATGTCATGATGTAAAACAAGTTCCCGCTTTCTGTTTAATAATTAATATTTCTGTTTTCAATTTCGATGTTTACTAACTATTTTTGAATCAATAAGATAATGTTTTATCATTAGCATTATTATCGTGACTATCCTTTCTATTTTTAGAACCTAAACTACGAAGAACGCTTTCGCTTATAGTTAGTGCTTTCATTTCGTCAGTATCTAATCAGATCTTATATGTTATCTAAAATTACAATCACTCCTTTTTTTATTCCTTAAAAGAATGTTATCTCGCACATTAAAAACAATTTCACGGTCACTTTTTTATATACAATATATATAACATTCGCACTATTATCTTTTATAAAAGCTACACTGTTATCTTTAATAAAAAATGATTTCTTATTAGTATGAAAATTTTCAATTTATATTTCGTATAATTTGCTTGCTTGCTTATCATTTGATTAATAAATCAGCAATTAATTAAATTACGCTAGCTTACAGACAAAACAATGCCGAAAATATTTTACTTTCAGGTCTTGGAAGAACCGGCGTTTTGATAGCATGCTACCTTATTTATAGTCTTCGTGTAAGAGCAAACGACGCCATAAGATTTGTCCGCATGAAGCGTCCGTCCGCCATACAAACGCGCGGGCAAATACTTTGCATTCAGGAATTTGAGCACTTTGTGCTTCCGCAAATGATAGTATTCCCTTTGCACAGTACAACGGGGGATCGCAAACCCTATAGCCTTCAATCGTACCTGAAAAAGCAACACAATATACTACATGGATACGAGCAACGCACCTTTAAACATATTCCAAAGGTACGAGGCATTTTATTATTATTTCACAATTCACTTATGTGAAACGTTAAGCTTTTTCAAACTATAATTATATAAATATTATTTATTTTTATATTGAAATCAAATTTAATTTAATAATAAATAGAATTTAATTTATATTCTCTCTATCTGCAAAAAAAACTTATTAATTAAAATTAATTGTATTAATAATGAAATGTCTTAATTTTTTCAAAAAAGCTGATTGTTTGAAGAAATGTTTGATAAAATTTTTAATTTATTTTAAATTTTGCTTTAAGGCGGGATTTGTTCGACGTAACAATTATATTTATGTTGACTATTATTGCATAAAAAAATAGATATTAATTTTTTTGTTATTAAGATTTCGTCACATTGCTTTCGTCACAAAGGTAATCTTGTCTAATTAATCAATATTTTTCTTAGATCGTTTTTATTATTTGCGAACGAATACTACAGCTCTGCGATTGTCAAGAAGACAATTCACCTTCCGAGATTACATATACGGTTTCCAACGTGCCTTTTACGCAAAAGTTCATCTGCCACGTATTGGAGAAATTCCGTGACGGCAAGGGTAATATGCGGCACTCCTATTCGTGGGCGGAATCCCTTACGGACTCATCCTATGAATACTCAAGTGAGAAGTATTACATTTTAGTAATTAAGCAATTTTACAATATCCAATTAACCTTTATTTCTCCTTGAAATTATTGATTATTCAATAATTAATTTGTTGAAGCTTTATGATTTTTGTAATCTTGCTTAGTGTAAATATTCATGCATATATATTTATAAATTTAATTTTTTATTTGAATGCAAAATATTTCTGCGTTCAAATAAATTTTTTATAAATTTCTTTTATTCTAAAAACAAAATAAATGAAATTGAATTTCATTTTTCTCGACTTATCTAATTGGTGAACTGACTTATCTAATATATTTCGAGTTATTGTATGTATTTGTAAAACAGTTACGTATTATAGCTTCCACAAAAGCGTGCAATAGTAGTCAAGGGTCGTCCCGAGATACCTGCGACGATATAGGAAGATTAAGCGACGTATTTTGCATGTCACCCGATACTCCTTCCTGCGACTCCACATTTCCAGGTACAATTATTGATCGAAATTTGAGTGTAAGTTGTTTGATATTCTTTATATTTTACGTTCTTTGACAATATCTCGCTAAAACAGAATATATACAGTTGATGACAGAATCTCATACCGTAACAGGTCTGGACGACGATTACGTGGATGATGTCCTAGGCGACGGTATTCATGATCAGGACCTGCTTGATAATGATTGTTACAAAGAAATCCAGTCACACATGGATTTAAGAAGCGTTTCCCGCAATGATTACGAAACGGTGACGGCCGAACAAGCTATCAAAGCGCTCATCAAAGATACCGCTTCACTTCCTGATCCCATAAAGAAACGTTTGCAGGACTATCAGGTATAATTTCCATATACGTGTACGAAGAAAAGGTTTCCTAAAATTATTATAGTAATTTTCAAGGAATGCATTATAATAGTGCATGTATATATAAGATCACATTCATGTATATAGGACTTTCATTCAGGTTTTTTCTGTATGTTCAATTACGTAAATGCTTGGGCTTATAACTAGCTTTAAAATAGTGAATTAGTGAAAAGTCTATATACTGACTACTGATAGACTGAATCAATTTAAAATATACATCACGGATATACTCTGTGTATAATACGCATTGTATGTATTTCTATTTTTAAAACTAATCAAGTTGCAATTACATGATTACTTAACTCTAGTTGTATTTAAGTCATCATAATTTTTATGCTCTTTACAGTTCGTTCTAAGGAATCAATTATTAAAATTTCATAAACAGAGAAAAACAAATATTTCTTTCTTTAGCTTGGTTTGCGAGAAAATATAATAATTAATAATAAAGAGAATATTTAAAAATTAATATTTAAAAAATATAATTTAATACTCGATAATATTACAATAAAAATTTATTTAATATAGCAATGAAACGCTATATTGTCATTAGCATTTAATGTTAGTGATAATATTAAAAAAATTGAAAATATATTTTTCAGAGTGACTTGAATCATCGATGTACTGCTTGGCAGCGATTAGAATTGGAAACTAAATTTGGAGATATTATCAGCATTGCTATTTGAATGGCTGGAAGGTCTTAAGCATCCGCTTCTTGACGTTGATAGTCTCAGTTATATTGTCGTGTGGAGTTCAAAGCCACAGCGATGCCTTGGGAAGCTGTCCATCTGTACAAGATACTTATTAGAATATCTTCTACGGTTCATTACCCGTTTAAGACCTGTAACAGCTGAAAGTCAGAGTTTAATTACCAAAAGATTAATGGCAGCACTAACACAACAAACAATTTGGATCAAGAATTCTTTTCATCCTCCAAGTATGTATATATTTTTATCACTCATTACTTTTAATTAATTTTATTTAATTATTTAATAATCTAATATTATTTAATTTTTAATAATATGTAACACAATCTGTAAAATAATCTGTAACAAATTATATAAATTATATTGCATAGTAATACGTAATTAAGGTATACTCTTGAAAACGACTTAATAATCTTTAAGCATAACATTTGCTTAAGGATGTTTAGAGACACTCGATATAATTGCGTTCTATACCTTATTTGCGTCATATCGCGGTCCCCAGAAATATCGATTTGTCCAACACAGTCCACTTTTAGACTATTTATATTTCAGCATCGATAATCGTAGCGTCTTTATGACGACTGTAAAGGACACAAACTCATAGACATCACTTTTATCGCTCTATCGCTATTGAACCGTTCTATTTCTAATATAGAAATAACAATTTCTGACGTTGTTAAAACTTCCAGGTAAACATTTCCAGAAGCTACGGCGTGGCACCGCTGGTAAGCTCAACGAGTTCTTTGTTCGTTTGATGAACTTGATAAAAGAAGTTAACACTCAAGGATTGGACAAGCCTCCGTGGGCGTCGAAGTGGGAATTGTTATCTAGTCATTTGCGAGATTTAGATAGCCAAAAGAACAAGATGGATGAGTGTGATAAATTTACAGTTTAACATTCCGACAATTTTTTTAATTGCCAACAATATACATATAGGCCTCTAGTTTCTCGTTTTTTCATCAGGTATGAACAAAACAGATAATTTATAAATCATACAAGTTGTTTGTAATTATAATTATATTATAATTATAATTATATTATAATTATCTTCTTGTTAAAGTAGTGAAAAATCTTTTTGTCTGTAATAGCAGCTGCAGGAAATCAACTAAACAGGATTCAATACATACTACGAGATTAAAGGATATGAGTTTTGTATATGAAATAGAATATAGTAGTGGATATAATATTTCTTTGTTACTGTACATCTTACATTAATACTGACGATCATCGTTGCTCTATTTGCAAAAAATTTGACAATCGCGCACTTGCGACGTACTGTTTGTAGTCGAGCACTTATTTTTTTCAAGCAATAATTACAAGACTCGACTTCCAATACTAGCAGCGATCAATACTAGAGCGTGAATTTATAGCTCGCTTAAAATTTGAGAATTATATATTATAATTTACAGCTTTCGATCAACTTTAAATATTAAGTATACGAATACAAATCTATATTATTTTTACAAATAAAATATTTTTCTTGATTTGATTTTTAAATGAAATATTAACGCATTCAATAATAAATGCGTTATATATTAAATAATTTAGTTTTATGTAAATGACTTTAAAAAATAAAGAAAAATATTTTAGTAGTAGTAATAAGTAAATATTATGTAAATCATTTATTTTATGAAAAATTTACTGTTAGGAACAATAGGAAACAATAATTTAAAATAAATATGATTGATAACAATATGAAAAATAATTTCAGAAAAAATATTACTATATAATATGTATAAAAAAATATGAAAATAATTAACGCAAAATAATTATAATTATAAATTGCAAACTGTT